TGTTGCAGCACTATTTACAATAGCAAGGACTTGGAACCAACCCAATGTCCATCAATGATAGACTGGATAAAGAAAATGTGTCACATATATGCCATGGAATACTATGCAGCCATAAAAAATGATGAGTTCATGTCCTTTGCAGGAACATGAAGCTGGAAGCCATCAGTCTCAGCAAGGTAACACAAGAAGAGAAAACCAAACACTGCATGTTCTCACTCATAAGTGGGAGTTGAACAATGAGAACACACGGACACAGGGAGGGGAACATTACACACTGGGACCTGGGAGGGGGTGGGGGGCTAGGGGAGGGGAAGCATTAGGACAAATACCTAATGTATGCGGGGCTTAAAACCTAGATGATGGGTTGATAGGTGCAGCAAACCACCATGGCACATGTATACTTACGTAGCAAACCTGCACGTTCTGCACATGTATCCCAGAACTTAAAGTAAGAAGGAAAAAAAAAAAAAAATAGCGGGGTATGGTGTCACGTGCCTGTAATCCTAGCTACTCAGGAAGCTGAGGCAGGAGAATTGCTTGAACCCAGGAGGCAGAGGATGCAGTGAACCAATATCGTGCCATTGCACTCCAGCCTGGGTGATAGAGCAAGACTGTGTCTCAAAACACAAACACACACACACAAACACACACACACACAAACATACACACACAGACATGCAAAACAACAACAACAACAACAACAACAACAAAAACTGACCTACCTGATAACTCCCATGAGAAGATGTGAACCTGGGTTTCCTTTCTCACTTTCCTTTTCTCAGCTACCCTTCTCCCCTTCGAAACAGTAAAGGTGTATCTCTTATCCATCCCAAACCTTATCACGAGACATTGCCTGGAGAGGAAAAAAACCTGAGTTGGGGGTAGAGGGAGAGAGAGCATCAAACAGAGGGCTGAGGGCAAATGTTGGAAAGTAAACGTTCTTTTAATCAAGACTCTCCAGACCCTTCCCCAGTCATATCAGTGAGAGATGAATTCCCATTAATTTTACTTTTTCTGTTTAACAATTATCTAAATTTTAATCAGTTGTATCCCAAAATTTACAGCATTGATATCTCAATTCAGAAAAATGTTTAACCCTTAAAGCCTTATTATCCCAGGAAATACAAAAATTCTGAAATTTTTGCCTATAAACATGTTTTTGATTTAGATACTATGACATGATGATCCATATGAGACTTAGCAGCGGGAAAACATATGACATTCCTATAAAATTCTATGGGGGAAGTAGAATGGAAATAATGATTTAAAGGAGAAAGAGGAACATTGTAAAATTTCTAACTGTTAAAGGAGAGTGTGTTCATCAATTTTTCAATGGATGATGGTGGGTATAAAATTACTGTGATATTTAAATTCCATGGGATATATTTAAAGGAGTGATGTTAGCAGTTTAATTTTAAACATTAATATTTACAATACACAGGATGTTACACCCTTTACAACTATTTAAAACCATGATGAAAAATTTTAAAAATAATTGATTATGTATTTTTTCAGAATGCATTTGGTGGCACATGAGCAAAAAACTGTGCAAAAGCCTCTGGTTTTGTCCAACTGCCTTTTTTTTTTTTTTTTTTTTTTTTTTCAGATGGAGTCTCACTCTGTCACCCGGGCTGGAGTGCAGTGGCATGATCTCAGCTCACTGCAACCCCCACCTCCCTGGTTCAAGTGATTCTCCTGCCTCAGCCTCCTGAGTAGCTGGGACTACAGGTGTGTGTCTCCACACCCAGCTAATTTTTGTAGTTTTAGTAGAGATGGGGTTTCACCATGTTGACCAGGCTGGTCTCGAACTCCTGAGCTCAGGTGATCTGCCAACCTCGGCCTCTCAGAGTGCTGGGTTATAGGCATGAGCCACCACACCTGGCCCAGCTGCTCTTCTTACAGATGAGCAATTTTAAAGTCGGAGAGAAGAAATAACTTACTCAAGGCCGTATGGCAAAATAGTACCTGAGCTAAGACCAAAGCTGGTCTCAGGATACCCTCACAGGCCCTCTTCTTTTTCTTTTTCTTTTTTTTCCAAATGCTAGCTTGCTGTATCAGCCTGAGTCTAGAAGGTCCCAGCACTCAAATGGGATGAAAGGCATGCAAGTTCATCAAGTGTTTATTTACAGACCTGAGAGCAGGACTAGGGCAAAGCAACAGAGGTGGATCAAGCACCAGGGACTAGCAACAATGCAAAGCCATTTCCACCCCTGGGCCAGAACACGTAGAGGGAAAGAGCCCTTACCTGGACCTGATGAGACCTGTAGCTATAGGAGAAGGTCCCCAACAGGACCTGTGTCTTTAAGGGAGGCACCAGGGCACTGCCAAACCACAGCTAGCTGCAAGAGAGCTAGGGGAGCAAATCCACCAACCTCTCTCTCCTCCTATGCTCTTTTCCTGCTGGTACCTCCATTGGTCAAATCAATCAGAAGCCAAAGGGCAGGGGAGCTAATTGTTACAGTCCTTAGAGGTCACCTCTTTGGGCACAGAGTAAGGCAGAGAAGGGCAGAGAGTCTAGAGGGGCAACCAGAGAATGTCCACCACACATTCCATTTTGAACTTGCCATTTGTACTTAAACAAAAAGAATAAGTTTCCCAGTCAAAAACAAAATCGCAGCAAAACAAAGAAATCTGTCCTCAGAAGAATCAGAAAGCCCATATTTATGAAGCAGGAGGAATTTCAGAACAGTTTGGAAGGATTTTTATTTTTCATTTTGTAACTACGATATACAGATATCTACTTATTTTAATACTATAATATTTTGTCATCTCCTTTCATTGAAAACTGATCTTCAATTTTGCAAAAATTGCCTGATTAAATCCTCACTCATGAATGCTTCAATAGGCTGCTACAAACTACAACTAAAACCCAGGAGTTGAGGGAAAGTCCCTGAGAAAAAGCAATGTTAATGGACACTTTGAACAGAAATATATTATCAAAGAGAATAATGTAAATTATTAATAGCCATATACTAAAGACAGATTAATCCAGCTAGAATTAGATTGAAAGAATGTATGCAATTGCCATAATCAAAAATGCTTTCACACTTAAATCACTTTTTTAGACAACCTGTGTTCATGTTATAGAAAGAGCAGCACCCTCTAGGGGCAGGGAGTGCCAATGGTCTATTGCCCTTTGACTTGTGCTTTTTCCTCATACCAGTAAGTGCATGATGGAGGTGGGGTGGAGGAGGGAGGAGGAGTATTTTTATCCCCAGTGCTCTTCCAAAAGAAGGCAAGTGGGTGATGCACAAAGACCCTCAGCTGGGAAATGGAAGACCCAGGTTCCTATTCTGACATGGTTGTTGATTCGTTTTACATTCTTGGTTAATGTTCTTTTCTCCAAACTCAAGTATTCTCTTTGTAAATATTTATCTCCAGTATCTCTTATACTTCAATTGCTTCAGCTCTAAAACTAGAAAAAACAAGAACAAAAATGTTATGGAGTTGTCTTGGGTACTAGGTAATACTTGTGAAAAACACTTCGTAAATTGTCAGATGCTAAAGCAACATAAAGGAGGCCACATGGCACAATAAGAACACATGACCAGGGATAGTTAACTTGCATATAAAATTATAGCTTGAAATTTCAGACTTCTGGCTATGGTATAGTAAGGAGACCAGCAATATTTTCCCGAAAAAATACCCATAAAGCTGGACAAAATTGATAAAACAACTCTTTTACTCCTCTTGAAATCAACTAAAGGCACAAAATAATTCCAGAAGCATTTATGTTTGAAAAACTATTGAGCTTTGGGTAAGAACAGTGGAAGTGTGGTGTCTTTACCTGGGGCTGATCCTAACTTCTACCTTCTTCCCAGCTTAGTTGGTGCTGAGATTCTGCCAGGACATGGCAGGCCCATGAGGACAGACAGCTACACTTATTCAATTTGGAGCAACAGATACCCATATCCAGCAGCACTGGTGAAAGTGATTATCCTGGCATCAAGTGAGGAGGGAGGGCCAATGGCTCTGCTTGTCTGATATAGTCATGGTTAAGGCAAGCATATTTCTGGCTGAGGGTGCACATATGAGCAGCAGAGACCAAAGACAGTACAAACAATATACACAATTCTGGCTGACCCTGAGGCTGGACACATGTACATAGGAGACCCAGAAGGGCCTAGCTGAAATTAAAATGCTGGAGTAGATTTAACAATGGCCTAAACTTTGAATCTATTCCCTTACCCACACACAGATTTCAGCACAAGACAAAATCCTTACTTGCTTGAGGCACTTCAGCACAACCTATGTCCAATCATTGGCTGACTAGTGGGCTACATAGATACAGGGATGAGCCTTAAGAAGTCAGTCTTAAAGACAAAAACAAGAATTTAAAAAAAAAATCTGGGCAGAGATATCAGCAGCTCCATATCACTAGGGAGATAGATTTAACTCAGGTAGGTTACTAAACAATGAACAAATTTTAAAAAGAACAAACCTTCAGGGTGGAAATATAGAATCTAGAGTTGCTACAATATAAAACTAGAATCTTCAGTTTTCAAAAACACCACCAACAAAAATGAGACATGCAAAGAAAGAAAATATGACTCAGGATAAAGAAAAAGGGGAAATGACAGAAACTCCCTATGAGTGATTCTAGGTATTTGATTTATCAGACAAACATCAAAGCAGCTATTTAAATATGTTCAAAGGGCTAAAAAAAAATCACATTTAAAAAATTAAAGGAAAGTATGGAAACATTGAATCAACAAATAGAGAATCTCAATAAACAGATAGGAATTATTGAAAAGAACCAAAGAGAAATTCTGGAGTTGAAGGTATAATAACTGAAATGAGAAATTCACCTAGAGGACTTTAACAGAGGATTCAAGATGGCAAAAAAATCCATCAGTGAACTTGAAGATAAAAATTGAAGAAAAATGAATAGAGCCTTAAAGACTTTTGGGACATCAAGTATATAAACACACATACAGTAGGAGTCCCAGAATGAGAGAAGAGAAGAAAAAGGAAGAAAAAATTTGAAGAAATAATGTTAGAGGGGCGGGCGGCCGGCGTGGCTGGGCGCGGTCAGGCTGCGGATCCGGCCCTGGCCTGCGCGCTGTGCAGCCGCCTGCTCTCCTTCCTGCTGCAGATGTACGCGCTGCTGCCTGCCGAGCCCACGCCTTCCACCGTGGCATCTTTCTCTTCTACTGCCGTGAGCCGCCGTGCTGTGCCGGCCTGCGAGTTTTTAGGAATCAGCTACCCAGGAAAAATGATTTTTACGCATATGAGCCACCTTCTGAGACTCTTTCCCCAGAAACAGGACAATCAGTGTGTCTCCAACTTAAGTCTAGTGCTGGTCTCTGCAGGGTTTGTGGCTGTTTAGGCCCCAAAACATGCTCCAGATGCCACAAAGCGTATTACTGCAGCAAGGAGCATCAGAGCCTAGACCAGAAATTGAGATATAAACAGGCTTGTACACAATCAGATCATTTGGACCATATAATTCCAGACCACGACTTCCTTTTTCCAGATTTGCAATTGTAATAGAAGCAAAAGATGAGATTACACCTGAAGGTGTGGAAAAGGAAGATTACTCGGAGATTATAGGGAGCATGGGTGATGCACTTGAGGAAGAACTGGATTCCACGGCAAAACATGAATCCAGGGAAGATAACATTTTTCAGAAGTTCAAAACTCAGATAGCCTTTGAACCGGAACAGATTCTCAGCTATGGCAGAGGTATTGCCCCCATCTGGATTTCAGGTGAAAATATTCCTCAAGAAAAGGATATTCCAGAGAATATCCTTTGTGATGCCAAGAGAATGTTTGAATTCCAGGTTATGCCTCAGCTCCTAAACTACCTGAAGGCTGGCAGACTGGGCAAGAGCATTGACTGGGGCATCCTGGCTGTCTTCACCTGGGCTGAGAGCTGCAGCTTGGGTACTGGCTCTACAGAATAATTTGTGTGGAAGCAGGATGTAACAGATACACTGTAAAGGCATCTTAAAGCCTTAAAAAACGTTAATAATCTTTTATACCTTGCAATTCAATTTCTGGGACTTTATCCTAAGGAAATATTTATACCAAAAATAGAGGTGCAGAGATGTTGAAGCATTGCTTACAGTGTCTACATATTAGTGAAGCAAAAGTATCCAGTGACAAGGAATTAAATAAATTTTGGTACATCTGCAGTGGAAATCTACACAGTCTTAATTATACACACCTATATTGACAGCCGAGATACCATTATAGGTGGTATTCACGGTATGACCCTATTCTTGTAAAAATATTTGTATATGTATATGTGCATAGAAATAAATCTGCAAAGATGAGAAAAAAGAAATAATGATAGAAAACTGCAACTTCGAGAAAAAAAATTAAGATAGCACAGAGGCACAACAAACTTCAAGTAGGATAAATACAAAATATCCACACCTAAACATATCATAGTCAAAGTGTTCAAAGACAAAGAAAATCTTAAAAGCAGAAAGAGAAAAATGATTCACTATGTACAGGAAAGTACAGCACTTTTAATTCCTGATTTTTCATCTAAAATGATGAAGACCAATAGGACATATTAAAAATACTGGGAAAAAAGGCCGGGCATGGTGGCTAACACCTATAGTCCCAGCACTATGGGAGGCCAAGGCCAGCAGATCACAAGGTCAGGAGTTCCACACCAGCCTGACCAACATGGAGAAACCCCGTCTCCACTAAAACTACAAAAATTAGCCGGGCATGGTGGCACACACCTGTAATCCCAGCTACTCAGGAGGCTGAGGCAGGAGAATGACTTGAACCCGGGAGGCGGAGGTTGCAGTGAGCTGAGATCATGCCACTGCACTCCAGCCTGGGCAACAGAGTGAGGCTCTGTCTAAAAAAAAAACAAAAAACAAAACAAACAAACAAAAAAAAAACTGAGAAAAAAATAACTACTAAAGTATTCTATATTAAGCAAAACTGTCCTTCATAAATGAAAGCTAAATAAAGCTATTCCCAGATAAATAATAAATAGGCTGAGAGAATTTGTGGCTAGAAGATCTGCTTTACAAGATACTATAAACAGTCCTTTGGGCCAAAAGGAATTGACACCAGGTTGTAATTTTAATCCACAGGAAAAAATGAAAACTACCAGAAATAGTAAATACATAAGTTAATTTAAGAGAGTCTTATATTAACCTGTAAATGCTATAAGAAAATATAGCACCACATGGCACTCACACTATATATTTTTGTTTCATTCTCTTACTTTCTTAAAAAGATAAAAGATTTCATAAAACAATAATATTAGCATTGTATTATTAGGTTTATAACCTGATAATATAGATGTGTGTATATAAAATGTATATACATGTATATATAAAATGTATATATGTGTGTATATGTAAGTATGTGTGTATGCGAATGTCTGTGTGTGTACACACACACATACACATACATATCAGCACAAAGGAGGAAAAGAAGGAATGGGGCTATACAGAAGCAAAGTTTCTATATTTTACTAGAATGGAGTTAGTATTATGAAGTACATAGTGGTGAGTTAACATGCATATTATAATCCTAGAGCTACCAGCAAGAAAATAACTAAGGAATATGTAGGTGTTAAATGGTATACAAAAATATTTAATACAAAATGAGGAAGTAAAGAAGAAACAGAATAAAAAGACAGAAGATATATAGAAAAACATATGAAATGGCAAATATAAATCCAACCTATCAACAATTACATTAAAAGTGAATGGTCTAATTATCCCAATCAAAAGGAAGAGATGGTCAGATTCTATTTTTAAAAAAGCACAATTCAACTACATGCTCTGTATAAAAGACACACCTTAGATTCAAAGACACAGATAATTTAAAATATAGAGGATAGAAAACAGATATGCTGGCAGGGCGCAGTGGCTCACGCCTATAATCCCAGAACTTTGGGAGGCTGAGGTGGGCGGACCACCTGAGGTCAGGAGTTTGAGACCAGCATGACCAACATGGAGAAACCCCATCTCTATAAAAATATAAAAATTAGCCAGGCATGGTGGTGCATGCCTGTAATCCCATCTACTTGGGAGACGGAGGCAGGAAAACCGCTTGAACCCTGGAGGCGGAGGTTGTCGTGAGCCGAGATCACGCCACTGCACTCCAGCCTGGGCAAAAGAGTGAGACTTCATCTAAGAAGAAAATAAAAGAAAAGAAAAAAGATCTGCCCTGCAAGCAGTGACCAAAAGAGAGCTAGAGTGGCCATAATAACATCACAAAAATAGACTTTGAGACAAGAAATAAGCTGAGCATCGTGGCATGCACCCATAGTCCTAGCTACTCATGAGGCTGAGGCAGAAGAATCACTCAGGCCCAGGAGTTTGAGGTTACAGTAAGCTATGACCATGCGACTGCACTTCAACCTGGGCAAGAGCGAGACCTTGTGTCTAACAACAACAACAACAACAACAAGAAATAGTACTACAGACAAAGAGGGATATTTCATAATAATATAAGAGTAAATACACAAGGGAAATATAACACTTATATGTGTACCTTATAACACGGGCTCAAAAATGCATGAAATAAAAACTAAGAATTGAAAAGAAAAACACAATTCAATAACAATAACTGGAGAATACATACCGTGCAAGCTCCAGCCTACACACTTGGGAACCCTCACTGCATCCACATCTTTTAATCACACCTTAAAACCCCAACTCAGTCTTCCTTGCTTGCTCTGTTAAGCAGTTTTTTTGGTGAGGGGGTTGGAGCGGGGGTGGGACCACTGTGAGAACCTTTCCTCATCTCCCCAGAAAACTTCATTTTGTGAGTAATAAACCTTTTCCTACTCTCTTGGTGTATCTCTTGGTGTATTACAGCATCATCAGACTCAATCCCCAAACCAAAGTTTGGGTTGCAGGCCCATGCCACATCTGTGAAGTGACTACAGTTGGAGCTGTGAGTACAATGTCTAGATAATGACCACCATCACTAGGGTTTTTTCTTCTCTTGCTTTGGCTTACCACCGACTCAGCTGTCTGCCATTTTGAGCTGCTGCTTGCTGGCTGGTACTCTTTGAGTTATGTTGTTGTCTCCTGGCAAGCTTGCACTTTGAGCTGTGCTTTGTTGTGTTGCTTTGCTGAGTTCTACTGAGCCTCTGTTATGGATTTAATGGACTGAAATCAGAAGTTCCAATAATTTGTGTCTAGAGACAGAAATATGGGATTAGGGATATCCTTAGAGTGGCCCTGGGTTTGAGGGTGTTCACAACAGTAGGAATTACACAGCACTATCAACCAACTTGAAGCAATTAATATCTATAGAACACTCTGCCCAAGAACAGCAGAATTCACATTCTTTTTGAACACACATGAAACATTTTTCAAAACAGACCATAGAACAAGTCTCAATAAGGTTAAGAAGATTGAAATCATACAAAATATGTTTTCTATCATAATAGAATTAAATTAGAAATGAACAATAGAGGAAGATTTAGGAAATTAAACATTTCTAAATAACAAATTGGTTAAAGAAGAAATCACAAGGGCAGTTGGAAAATATCTGTAACTTATTGAAAATGAAAGCATAATATACCAAAATTTATCAGATGCAGCTAAAAAAGTGCTTAGAGAGAAATTTAATGCTTTGAATGCCTATAACAGGTATGAAATTGAAGGGAATAATGAGTGCATTACTAAGGCCTCACATTGTGATTATATAAATAACCTAAACTTTGACCCTAAGAAACTAAGAAGAGTAAATAAACACCAAACAAGCAGGAAAAAACAACATAACAAAGATCAGATAAAATATTAATAACATTTAGCTAGATTGACCAAGAACAAAAGAGAGAAGGCACAAATTACTAAAATCAAGAATGAAAGGGGAGCCATTATTAGCGTCTTAACATAAATAAAAAAGATTATAAAGGAATATTATGAACACTTGGTATCAGTCATAATGTAATTAAATGAAAATTTTTCCCAAAAGGAAAGGTCAGACCCAGATGACTTCCCTGGTGAATTTGATCACATATTAAAGAAGAAATAATATCAATTTTTCACAAACTCTTAGAAAATATCGAAAAGAACACTTCTTAGCCCATTCAATAATAATAATATTATCCTGAAACCAAAACCAGACAGAGATATCACAAGAAAACTACAGACTACTATCTCTTATGAATGTAGATGCAAAACTCCTCAACAAAATACTAGCAAAGTGAATTTAGCAGCATATTCAAAGGATCATACATCATGACCATATCAGCTTTGTCACAAGAACACAAGGTTGGTTCAGCATATGAAAATCAGTTAATGTAATACACCATATTAATAAAATAAAAAGAAAAATACCACATAATCATCTCAATAGACTCAGAAAAAACACTGGACAAAATCCAACAACTAGCATTATTGATAAAATCCCAAGAAATTAGGAAGAGAGAGGCATCTATAAAATAGCCACAGCTACCATCATACTTAATGGTGAAAGAATGAATGCTTTACTGTTAAGATCAAGAACAAGGGAAGGATATCTGCTTTCAACATTTCTATTTATCATTGTACAGGAAGTTTTCACCAATGCAATAAGGTAAACAAAGTCATGCAAATTGGAAAGGAAAAAGTAAAATTGCCTTTATTCAGAGATGACATGAACCTTTATGTATAAAATGCCTCAAGGAATCCACAGAAAAACTACTAGCAGTGAAAATACAAGAAGAATGTACAAAAATGAATTGTATTTTCATATGTTAACAACACGCAACTCAATTAAATTATTCCATTCACAATAAAACAACAAAAGAATAAAAAACATCCCAGACTGGTGCAGTGGTATATACCTATAGTATCAGCTACCTGAAAGCCTGAGGTGGTGGGATGATTTGAGCCCAGGAGCTTGAGACTAGCCTGCATAGCATAGGGAGCCCCTGTCTCTATTTAAAACAAACAAACATTTCATTCATAATAAAATAAAATAAAGAATAAACTATATTACATT